AGCCCAATGATCAATGAAAATACCATTCATTGACAATACCTAACTTGGAGGAAGGACGGTTTTTAGGATTTAAAGGGGAATTTTTGTTTGAGATGCGTGCTAGCTAATTCCCTTCAAATCATATGAGTTCTGTTCACTCCTCAGACAGAGTCATTATCGTGAATACTACGTAAGTAACTCAGAAAGTCTGACTAGATAATGATTATGTCGTGCGGAAGTAGTGGTTCGAGTTTTCCGGTCGAATGAGGCTAAATGGAGGGCGTGGCACACTGATGTACAGCCAGCCGTCCCCTTGCACTCCGTACCTCTCTTCCCTTTCGTAGGTGTATCTGCAGGTGATAGAGAGATGGTAATGAGGCAACATCGACAGCGAAAGTTAAAGAACTTGCCAGAATTAAGAGGAAGTACCCTGGACGGATGTAGTGTAAAGCTATGATATAAGGTGCACCCGTCTTCTATGTTTATGTTACCGAGAGCAATAGCATTCGATTCAACAATAGCATCATGAATCCGTCGTGATTTTTTTCTTGATGTTCTCTACCTTAGCTGATGTGTTGGGATTTGTAGAACGACTGCAGCTCGTCAGCGAATGAAAGCAGCTCATTATGATTATTTGCACTGAGCGGTATTCTTTTTTTTAATAACGTTCTTCTCTGATGTAAACAGCAGTCATCTCAAAACTTTTACTCTACTAGATACATTCATGTTTTCCTCAAGAACAAATGACAAAAAAGCTCATTAAATGGAAGAAAACAGAAATGATCAATAGTACAGCGTTGGCGGATTGTCATCTGAAGGATTTGATAGCATTCATTGAAATTACTTGTAAGTATCCGATTTTCTACTAATAATTTCACAACCAATCACTTGAACATATTATTTCATCGTCGCTCACTCATCTGTTCCAAAACTTATGAGAGGACTTGTTAGGATAAAATCCGCATTGAATTCAACTATAATGAAATCTTCGGCCAAAACTGGTGACTGAACTTTCAACAATCGGGTGACCATTGGGGACTTTGATTAGCAGATTTATATGAAGCCATACGAGAAGCGTCAATACGAATCTGAATGCGACCGTGCATTTATTGACAACGACGCAAAACTTCTCTATGTAAACGTCAGTAATCGTTTCGCATAGACACATTTGCCCGTCCAAAAGTCGATATGCCCGATATGAATTTTCATGATTACATAGTGATTTCCATACAGCGGGTGTAACTGTAATTTTATCGATCGCTTTTATGCCAGAAGTGAGAAATGACCTCACATTGTACAATACCTGCAAGGAAGTTCTATTTTTTGTCCAATCAAAAAATCAGACTTCACTTGAGAAGAGTTTTTTAGTGTGGTTGATATGGCTTTGAGAAAATGTTCAAATTATTTTGAAGAAAGATGTAGTTGGAGATAAATGCTGGGCCCTCTTATGTCAATCATGCCAAGGCGTTGACGCCAACAAGCTTCCCGAGAAGAAAAATTTCGTCATATCATGAGAAAAATTAGACTACAGTTAAGGGAGAGCTTTTTTGATCGTTCGTGAGACCTGAAGGAAATGTTTCAAACTATTTTGATCCAGACGGCGTAGTTGTCTTTCTTCATTACACTTCGTTTCTCTTGACAGCAAATTGTCACTTGGAGTGCTTCCAGTATAACATAACAGACCGTTTCCTCTCGATTTTTGTTATAAACCTCGCGTAATGAGACTATCTTTCGCGTGAGATGATTATTTTTATATCTCTTGAACACGTCCTTGTTTTCATGGGTATGTCTCATGACTGGTTGATTTAACAGCTTTGTTTCCTCGATATCACTATGAAAGCTTTAGACGGATAGTTTAATGCGGTATAGTACATCTTCGAACCCTTATTATGTAAAGTAAACTGGGCCAATTTGTCGTCAGGCTATGTAACACGGCTACAGGTGGTGGATAACAAGATTATACGCTGGTCAAAAAGGGTCTTATACTTACCCTATGACGTTGGTGGTTTTAGGTGTGATGAAACCCCTTCTGTCTGCAATGCCACATTGACTTATGCTATGACTCAAGTGATTCTTCCAATGCAGCGAAGTCAGAAAGTTAGAAAGTGAACGAGGATTGGAATTGCTTATGAAGGTTCTCCTTCTATTTTGAAAGTACGGAAGCTATACACTTTCCACAAACAGCCCATTCAACCGAGTCCCGAGAGCTTAACTTCATTACAATGATTTGACTGACCAAATCCTGAAATGAGCTCATTGCAAATCAAATACAAAGCTAGAAAATTAACCTGAAAGTGCAAGGTTAGCTGTGCCTTCGCTGTACATCAAAATCATACCAGAGGATTAGGAAGGGTGTCGCTATGTATAGAAAGGAATGAAGTGCTAACAAATTCTGATGGAAAGCTGGGAAAAGACAGAATGAAACACAATAACGCTTTCAATACGAGTTCGTTACAATTACCCCAAATGTTGGGACAGCTGTATCTCTCTGATTACTCAAAGCGTCAGAGTAAATTTCTAAAAAATCACTATCAAAAACTATCGAATATTATAGAACTTAAAACTGATCAAAAAACGTCATTCACCTAGAGAAAACTTGAATCAATATGTAGTTTGCCGCTGAAGACCACTTTAAGGCCGTTGAACAAACCGTAGGTCCTAGGTTTATTTCGACAGTGAGAAAAAAGGTTCAGTCTTTCCACTGTCGATTTATCAATTCCATAAAGAATAGATTAAAAAAGTACAGAAATGAGGAAACTGAAGAGAAAAGAAAGAGGCACATTATCACATCACCGAGCTCATGTGGCGCAGTGGTTACAGGTGCTCTGCGTCGCACACGAGGCCAGTGGTTCGATCTTGCCCTCATGGCTCACCAAGCCATTCTTCCCTCCGGAGTAGGTAAATTGGTACCAGTCTGATCTCAGATTTGTCTGGGAGGATACGCAGCACTAACGCGGTTCAGCGGGAGGCCAAGGCGAGTCATTGTAAAGGCCAGATATGCATTCAATCACCTCAATTGAGGTTAAAAGATGAAGACGAATGCACGGCGCATCCCTTAGGGATTGATCAACGCTAGGAGCTTTATCCTTTTTATCCTTTATCACGTCTTTACGACCGAACGCCGATTCGGTTAAAGGACGGATATAATTATCACAAGAGCGATAGCCGATTCAAAATAATAATGATTGGTTAACAGCGATGATTACTATGCAAAAGTTGTCATTAGATGCAAAGTTGCTAAAAATGAAGCAGAAGCAAGTATAGAAAAATCGGCAATTTTGTCATCTCTGTTAGTTGTATCATACAAATTGTACTTTTCTTTAATCAAAATTTGCACGAGGTTGGTACGTGTTCTTTGTCAAAATTTGGTGGCTAGCGTTTTGGCGACCCCTTCTTCGTCAGAGCCCAGACGTAATATATCATGCCATATCTGATTAATCGGCTAATACTTCATATGCATAAAGAATCCAATATAAAGTATTTCAACGGTCTGGTTGCTTTGAAGAGAAACCCCACCTTTTTGATACTTATTGGGGATAGGTCACCCGTGTTATGTGACACATTGTGAGAAATGAACTCTACTCAGACTAGAAAATGAATCTAAGATACGGTGCCATATTATTTATTATGTCCAAACACTCTTTCCTTCTATTAATTTTTAAACTTTTGCGGTTTATCCAAAAGGTCCCAAGGGTTTTCCGTGACGATGTTCTTGATTCTTGCCCCAGAGTCTTACTACCACATCAAAGTCCATTTCAAATGGGCATGAAAGAGCAGCCGGAGAAATTAGGTCAATAAGGAGAGATATACTCCATAGCATAAATAATGAAAACAATATAGTTCCAAATTCAGACGGAAAGATAACTTCAAAACTACATGAATTAAATGCCGTTGTCAAAAGGTGTTAAGAAATCAGTGGTCTGGAAGACGTATGAGTCATGGTAATTCCACCCACTAACTTGCGTCGCCAATCGCTTTTGCACGACATGTGATCAAGAACATTGGAGATACGGGAGGACTACTATGTCTGTATTAAAGAATACCTGAACGTGAAGATCTAGTAGCCAAACAACTAAGCCTTCAGGGACGTACAGGATTTAAACACAACGATGTGAACTTTGATGTGGTAGTCAGAATCCTGGAGCAAGAATCAAAAACATCAGCGCGGAAAACCCTTGAGGCTTCTTGGATGAACCGCAAAAGTACAAAAATGAATAGAAGGGGAGAGTGCCTAAACATAATAAATAACATGGCGCCTTTTTGCAGATTCATGTTCTAATTTGAGTATGGTCCATTTTTCACAGTGTAGCACAGAAGACCAGTGACCTCTCCTTCATAAGTATTAGGAAAGTGGAGTTTTTTAAGGTAGCCGATTGTTGAATTATTTTGTTTTGTATTCTTCATGTATACGAAGTGTTAACCGAATAATCAAATATAGTTCGATATATTACGTCTAGGCTCTGATGAAGGAGGAGCCGCCAAAACGCTAGCCATCAAAATTTCAAGAAGACATACCAACCTTGTGCAAGTTTCAATTGAATAAAAGGGCAGTTCGTAAGAAATTTTGCGTTTCTTACACATGTCGATGTTTAGAGAGACTCGCACTTCTGAGTTATCAGTTGTATAACTGACCACGAACCACGAAAATGCTGAGATGCGAGCAAAGCATAGAGCTTGACGTGACTTCGAACCCGTGACTACCCACTCCAGAAGCTCGCGTGCTGTGTGCTGCACCATTGTTTCCTCTCCTGCTTTTTTAATTACTGTTATTACCATTGTCACTGTTTTCACTCTCATTGCTTTCATTTCTATAATCTCTACTACTGGTTTTCTAATTTGCATTTCATACGGCCTTACAATGCACAGACATCAGCAAACCATCTCTTTTTATTGCCCCGCGTCCATCAGCCACGAATTTCTTGAAAGCTTTGCGTGGTCAGAATTCCTTTTATTTGACCGCTACTTGCGGTGGTATGATGTTACAGTATACCCAATAATGTGGGGTGCTGTACAAAAACATTTGTGTCAGCTGGGATCCGAACCCAGATCTCACTCTTTCCGGGAGGGTACGCTAAACCGTTGCACCACCAACGCTCGTCTTGCACAGCACTCTTTCAAGACAGCGCGTTGTGGCGTTAAAAAAGTGCTGTGCAAAACAAGCGTCGATGGTGCAGCGCTTAGCATATGCTCCCGGAAAGAATGAGATCTGGGTTCGTATCCTGGCTGACGCAAATTTTTTTGCACAGTATTCCACATTATTAAGTTTTGCATGGGCATTCGTGTGCTACTATAAGAATTTTCAAGCCGATGGTTGAATGCAGGTCGATTAGTTATTTCTGTGATCTTAAAATAGCCAAAGAATATCCAGCTGAAGCAAAGCAGTGCAAGAATCACTATCATCTTGGAAACAATATAGTTTCCAGTTAGTAAATGATGAGCGCCCGAGTAATCTTTGGTGCAACCTTTGAGTCTCGGCTGAATCAAAATCTTGTCCAAGCACAGATTGCCAGTCGAAGAGAATTGGCTTGGGTCTCACGTGATGATTTATAACTCCTAAGGGGGCCACATTCCAGAATGCTTTGAAAGAATTTTTCCAAATGTCGCTACAAGGGAAATTAGGTTGAGCTCAGGTTTAAATGCGTGACATTTTCATGAAGGCAGGAAAATGCCGTTCCTACATTTGATTTCCTATCTTTTCACTATACTTCTTCTGCTCAAAGGTATTTTCGCCTTCCATTCCAGTGATTCGTTACCGCCGAGTGATTGAAAGTTCGTTTGATTTGGGCACACGACAAGATCGAGGCAGTGGTAGTCCTTCTTTCGTTCATAGTAGTACTGCAATAACATACTTCCACGTTGTGATTTCTCTGTGAGAGCCATTCGGAAGCGATAAACAAAGAGATCGAGTTCTTTTGTGTACCTTACCTGAAGGACCAACTCCTAATCGTCGCCGCGATCACTTTGTAATCACGTGGCGACTGCACATTTACCAAGCAGCGCCTACGACTGGAGATTGTCTGAGTTTCAAAGAAAGAAGTAGAGCGATAGGGTTCACAACGTTCAAAGCATTTTCGCAAGGTGATACAATGTTTTAGGCCTTCCATCCATTTTTGCAGCGTTCTATATATGCCAATTCTTAACATTTGCTTAGTGATAGCTTCGATTGGCATTTAGGATGCATATGTTTGAACTACGTACAAAGTGCAGGTGTTTGACAATGAGATCCTTCATTTATTATCGATGTGCGACCTTAGAAAGGTAAAGTGTATTAACTAGATCCTTGTGACGAATGCTTGTCTAAGGAAACATCTCATTCCATAGTTCAACTAGACCGGCTTACTGATGTGATCGAAAATAAATCATATTCAGTTAATTTAAGACGGCGATGGGAATTCCGATTAAGAGAGGCTGAATTTCGCTTATCAATTAAGGGTAGATTTTTGGTACAATGGAAATTGTACAGAAACCGAATTCAAGAACAGTACTGTCAAGTGAGTAAGTGAATAGAAAAGAAGAATAGAAAACGGAAAATTCTGCTTTAGTGATTTTGTTTGAATTACGAACGCTTCACGCAGCAGCTTTAGTTTTTCTCTGTTCAACTCCACATCTCAGCCCAAAATTGTATGTAACCGTGAAGGTGAGAGCATATGAGTAGGTATTTAGATGTGAGTGAAATATCACTGGTGATGATTTTCTATGCTGTAACTATTAGCTGTGCAAATATGACTAAGCCGCTTTTTTGTTGTATCAATAGTAGAAATGAGGATGTGCAGATCCTCTTTTTTGTTTAAAAGTGCGAAAACGATATTTATGAATGTTTAATGTAAAAAATAGTCTACATAATAGTTTTAACAGGAATTTGAAGATGACGTCTATCGCACCTGCGAAAAACGCCTTGCGGAAAGTTTATTTTGCAGATTCACCAACCAAAGGTAAATGAAATTGCTTGATTCCAGAATAGATCAGTTGTGAATTTTTCCGTGAACATCTCAGTATACAACTTCCATGTACATGCTCAAGATGTAGCTATCATGAACATTGTTCGCTTGCTACTCATGCTCGATTGGCACGTAGGAAGAAGTGCTAGTAAAGCGGCGCACAAAATTAATGGAGCTTTGAGCGAACTCCATCCTAAAGCGAGTGCAAATAATTCTACACCAAAATGTTCAAAAGAAAATACGCAAATGAACAATGCCAACGTCATAGATTTAGTTGCAAAAATCTTTTGAGAAACCAAAATGGCACGAGCTTTGCAATTTTGCTGCATGATAACGCTCGACTTCATGTTGCAAAACCGACTGAAAACGTCATTGAAGAGCTGAGGTCACTTTACCTACTCTCTCGACGTCGCATCATCATACTAGCACTTGAAATTACGAAGCTCGAATTACAAATTAGCAAATTTTAGAAAAATGGCGATTTTCGGGTAAAAAAGTTGTCGATTCAAAGTCCTATAATAAACATCATATAAAATATTCTATACATGAAAAACATGTGAATAAATAGCGCTTTTTAGGCACTTTCCAGGAAAAAAAGAATGTGTACACCATTAAATTTACTTTCATTATAGCAAAAAGAAAACGGCGAAGTCATATTTGTACACCTGATATATTCATTCTAATCATCGTGTTACTCATCAACAACACGTGTATAACTTGAAGAGGGCGACCTCTACAGATGACGTAGCAACAGTACTTTAAAGGGAAAGAGAAGGTGAGAGCGTGGAGAAATATATTGTGAATATTGAATGACTCGATAATTAGCAAAACTAGTTAGTTTACTTATCGAGACACAGCTACAGTAATGTTATTAGTGAATTAACAAATAAGAGAAAAATTTAATGTGTTAGCCTTGTGTCGAACAATTGAAGAGTAAGAGATATAGCTTTCAGCGTTAATTAACTCATAAGATAATCAGGTGCTTTGTCATCTGACTGGTGATGATCTATTATTCTGTGTCGATCCCTCTAAATGTAGGGGTGAATACCTGAGGGATCGGGTGATCCGAGGGGCACTGTGGTAGTGAAGAGCCTGGAAAGGCGAAACAGGCACTGGTATAGCATTGTATAAGTGCTGTACCAAACCTCATAACAGACTTAAACATGATATCACGTTATCAGATTGTCAATGTTTTGAGCGAGGTCTACATAAACAGTAGGGAGTAGGATATGATTCATAAGATATGCCATTAGCTCAAATTAGCAATCATTTGCGATGGCTCTCCGATGCGCATAGAAAGAGTCACCTCAAGAAAGTAATGAAATTTAGTAAGACAATTACATTTTGTGAGTTGGTAGAGTGCCACCAACTTTGGAAAAACGTACTGGGCATTTGATATATCACCTATGCGAGGAATTAAAGAAAACAAAAGAAGTAAAGTAAAACCAAGTTCATTAAAAGTGCAAAATATGTGGAAAACGATTTGCTCATGTAGCAGATTATACATGCCACTAAAGAAATACCGATATCGTGACGAATACGAATAGAGCAGCAAAAATGATTGCCAACATTGTTGCGGTGCGTTTAAGTTACACGGTCACTAGCTAAATCCCCTATAAAATCAAACGAACTGTGATTCTAATAAAGCCAATTATTTTGTTAGAGATGGTAGGCAGTTTTGTTGATAAACTATTAAACTCCATAATTAATAAATTCACTTGCATAGAAAACTGGAAGAACTAATACTGTAGCGGTTATAGCATAGTCTACATCATCACAAATTGTTATTTACACAATTGTTGCTTACACAAATCGTTCTACGTAATAAAAATCTGAAAGGTGTGGAGCAAACTTCGAAAAGGCAGTCGTTTCAGAAAGTTCACAGCAGATATTGTGTTGGCCTGTGATATAGGAAATATATGAAGTTTGAGCAGCACGTCAACACATCAAAAAAAGTTTTCCTTCTTATTTCATCTCATTTCCCCGTCATCACCGCTCAAGTTGAAAGAGGCTCGATTCTGCAAAGAAGCTCAAGAAAATCAAAGAAATTAAGTGAGAATGTAGTTCTGGCGCTGATTATTCAGAGCTTTCATTTCAACTACTCCGTGTGAAAGGAAACATTGGCAGACTATTTTTATGCTTGGAAATAAGGTGAATTTACAATTTTATAGTAGTTGATTGAATTTCGTCTACAAGAAATTTAGGCACTGACCTTAAGTAACAACATGGTTTGTGATCTGGTAGCTAAACTAGTTTACCGAGCCCACTGATGTAGAGAGATGTGCAAAAGTTGTGCATCAGCTGGAACTCGAACCCGCATCTCACTCAGTCCACGGCCTCGTACTCTAGCCCGTTGCACTACTGATGCTCCTTTTCCCATCACTCTTTCTACGCTACAACACATTTATCTGTCAGCAACCAACCATCAGCGGTTTGGCCCAGGCAGTCGGTATCGATTGAACCAAGTCACGGTGACAGATACAGGGTATATGAAAATAGAAAAAAGTTATCTTGATTAGCTGACGCGAGGTTGGTAAAGTATCCGTAGTAATTCGGCTAACGTCTCGGCGGCCCGCCTTCTTCAAAGCCTGGGCTTATGTATATTAGTCTATTTGAATTATTCGGAGTATCTTACTTACATTCTGCCTAGGTCAGTTTAAAAGATCAACTGAAGAAAGGGCGCGAGGTCTCGTATGACGGTGACTCATTCGTCCTTCCAGTTAATTTAGGGGTTTTGGCGTTTATCCAAAATGCCTCAAGAGTTTTGCGCGTGGATGTTTTTGAGCAAGGATCGTGACAGTCATATCAAAATCTTTGTTGTTTTGTTTCTGAGCCCTATATAAACCTAAAGGCTTGGTTTCATCTATTTTAGATTTGCTATCTAGATGTTCTTTAAAGCGGATGAAAAGTGGTGTGCTCGTTTCGCCTATATATTTTTCCCCGCATGTCTTACATGTCACCATATAAATTGTGCCCGAACTCATACAGTCCTCCTCCTTTCCGTATGGCAGATTATACAGTTTTTGCTGTTGCACAATCGGTCGTAAAGTCTATTGCGGATCAGCTGAGGGCTTTGGGTAAAGGGGTGGGACTTCAATAACTACCACGAAATTTTCAAGACCGCATCTTTTTAGGCACCCTTCAACCACGCTGCTG